GCGAGAAGTTCCAAACGCCCTTCATCTTACTGTGGCCTAAAGTCCACTTCAATCCTAACCACATTCCAGTCAGAATTTGAGGCAATGGCAAACCTGTACGCTTCCAGCTAGACACGGCATCAGAAATCAGTCTAATCTCCAAGCGCACATGGCAGAAGACTGGACGATCTCCGATGATCACATCGGACAAAAAGGCCATGAATGCTTCTGGCGGATTTCTCCGGCTCACGGGTGAGCTTGATTGTGACGTTTCCTTTGAGGGCATTCAATTCAAAGGAACATGCTACCTTACCAACCGCCCGAAGCTTGACTTAACTGGCCTTGACTGGACCGAGAAGCTCGGTCTCCTAGATTTGCCACTTAACCGCTTTTGCAATGATGTGCATTCAACTTGGCCGAGTCTCGCCAAATCGAACCAGCTGATGACAAATCTGATGCCAACGCTCCCACCTCCTGCAAAGGTGCCCAAGCAGGGGAAGAAGAAGGAGGATCCAGGACAGAAAGCGCCAGCAACGTCCGAGCCCCGTCAAACACCTGGTCGGTCAACTCAACGGCGCGCGCGAAAAGCATGATGCCTCGACAAAGCCCCCATCCTCTTCTTCCACGACTGCTGCCGACTCCCTAAACCTCTCCACGAGGGACCCTAGTGCTAAAAAGGCACGAACTTCAGCCTCTAGGCGACCAAGCCAGTAAAGAATGTGAACGGTTCAGTTTAGTTTATTTCAGTATATTTGATGAGGGTAATAGGCAGTGCCTTTGAAAACCTTATGGATTACATGCTGGTGCGTCACTCACATGTACATGCACATTCAAAAAAAATTACCACTACTAACATAGTATTGGCAAACAGTGAGTAGCATTGTTTTAAAAATAAGTCTGGAAGTTAGACTTCAGTCTTCGAGGGACAAGGGGGACGCATGTAATTATCCAAGCGTTTTTTGTACAACTGAAGGGAAGTGGCTTCCACGACTGACAGCGCGAGGTCGTTCCACTGTTGTTTGGCCCATTGCGTGAAGAATTCAGGGCGGAGGTTGAGCTTGGACATCTTCGTGCGCGGCTTCATTGTGTGCCCACGGAGATGAGGCGAGCGGTGCCACTGAAACATGTCCTCAAAGCGAAACAGGCGCGGCTTTCGAATTTGAGCCACCAAATTTTTTGCTCTCCATTCACGTGGGAATTTATTATCCTATACCATCCTCTC